TTTACATTAATTGTATCCCACACACACAAATCATGCAGATTCTGCGATATACCACATAAACACACATGGAAATCAGAGTCTCTTGAGAATAACTGTCAGTGTGAATGACGCATCACCTTTTTGCAAAGCCTCATGGGAGTCTGAAGAGGCCTAAACTCTTTAATACATGCACTCAAGGTAGAGAAAAATAATTTAAAATACCTCTCAGTTAACTGCTCAGCTCTTATTTTCTTTATGAATCCTATTAAAGCATGTGACTGCAGAGGGACTGACAGTGAAGGACAACTGTAGGGTGTCTTCAAATTAAACGTGAGGTTCCAGCGTCTTAAAAGCTGTTTTTATGGAAACGTGTAGACAATAGAGTTAACAAAAACTTTAATTTGAGGGTCACATTTTGCTCTCACTGACATAACTTGGATTTGAATCAACTAAATTAGCTGATATACTATATTTTAAGCAAGGAGGGGTAACAAACAATACATTATATAAAGTTCTGTATTATGGAATAGAAAAAACAAAAGGGATAAGATAAGGAGCATGATAAATGATGCTGCCAGTGGAGGTGAAGGCTAAGCTCTCACTCAAAGAGAGGTCAGGGTTCAGAGTTTGTAGCCCTAAAGGTCACACAGCAGACAGGAGGGGACAGCAGACAATGCTGTCTTTAGTTTAGTGTCAAGATAAGAATAGGATGCAGTGCACCAGCTCAGGAAAGCCCTTTAAAGATGTGACACTTCAGCCAGTGTGTGTGTGTGTGTGTGTGTGTGTGTGTGTGTGTGTGTGTGTGTGTGTGTGTGTGTGTGTGTGTGTGTGTGTGTGTGTGTGTGTGTGTGTGAAGAGGCCCTCCTCACCTGTGCAAAAAAATTCCATCAACTCCTGCAGGCACTAATATAGAACGCACAGTAACATACACACACACACACACACACACACCGCAAAGCATACTTTTCTTGACTTACATTACTTCCCTGGAGGTGTACACATTTTTAGATGCGATTGAAAATCCTTCACTGTAGTGTCCTGTGTCCATTGAACTATATCTGAACCTATAAACAACATAACAGAATTTCTTTCATATTGATTTGAAGTAAAATGGGGAAACTAGTTTTGTTTTCAAAAAGACAAGCTGATATTTGTCTCCAAAAACTGGCCATTGTCAGAAACACCCACACGTAGACCCAATCTTAAACTCCCTTATAACTGTCACAGTAAACGCAGGTTGCTGTCTGGTAATAAAAGCCTTCCGCTGTGGAGAATTTGAACCCCTGTGTTTAACTGGCTCTGTGAATGTGTCACCGCTGAGAGACACACTCTGTGAAACTACTTACTGGGATTTGGAATTTGGCAGACACCCTCAGCCAAGGCTTTTGTCTTTTTTTCTGGCCCCTGAAAAAAAAGACAGTTGTGTGGACACGTGGATGCACTGACTGCTGCTTCTGTGTTGGCTATGTGTTACATCCAGGTAGACTTACTTATCCACTATTTGTACCGTTTGTGTCTGGTCAGTGTGTATCAATGTCAAGCGGTGCAGGCCTCTGATGTCTGATTGGGTTACTTGGCAACCAGATCTCATGTCCCTATCTCCTGTCTGAGTCACGCAATAGGTGACAGTGTATTGAGTGTGTTTATGTATGTGTGTTAGCTCCAAGGTGAAATGTATACCTTTCCTTTTAGTTTTAGCAGGAGATAACATTTGGTTGGCTCAGAAAGTTCTCCTTTTATTTGGAGTAGAATTACAGGATTTCTTTTTTTTTCAGTGTCAGAGGTTTTACCTGTGGTTCGTCTCATTCACAGTATCCACTTTGCGAGTTTCTACTTGTTACTTTTTACTCACTGTAACTTTTAATTGTATCTGATTTCATGTAATTTAGCTTTAATTACGACAGGAGCTTAAATTTAATCCGGAACTGTCTGGTCTTATGTTTACTTTGTCTCTCTCTCTTATCGTGTGTGAGAGGAATGTCGCAAACTGACTTTATGACCTGTAAAGTCTGTTTTCAGCTTGTTTACGGTCTGCATTGTTCCACTGAAATTCACTGCCACATATTCTAATGATAAAATCATAGGTTGATGTCTTTTCTGTTATATACCCACCTGCTTGATTGTACATATTGCCTGGGTCCTACAGTGTCTGGTGCTGAAATGTGCTTATGAAATGACTGTTAACTTAGAGTAAAGCAATTTAGAATTGAATTCCAACACGAGGAAAGAAAATGACCAGTAATGAAGTTTATCAGCCGACATACTGTACTTTTATATAGTACTATAATGTATTCTAGAATTCTATATTCTCAACCGGTTAAGGGACTGAAAAAATATGGTAAACAAAAAAGAAATCACAACCATAAAATCAATTCCTAAGGTCAAAAAATTACTGATTGTTCACTCAAAGACCAAATATTTATTTCACATCATAATTAGGCAATATAAATAAGCTAAGCTGTCAGGTGAAATCTTTCAAAGAGTAATCTTTCAATTCTCTTCTGGCCAGAAGCAGCCAACCTAAAGCTGTTGGATGTCCACTTTACCACGACAGATATCAGATTGAACATATTGATTGTTGCCACTGCTGTCTTTTTCTTTGTGTGCAGCTTTAAGGGAATGAAAACAAGGAGATTTATGAAAAGGAAGTGAGGTGGGGGTTGAAGCAGGATGCTGACCTCTTATGATGACCTGGGACTCTCCAATTCCCTTCGGGGGTGATGGTACTAAAAGGGATTCTCTTCTTGAAAAAAGGAAATCAATCGACTAAACTGGACTGTCTATTTGTGTGCCCTATATGTGTTGTAGCTTGGCTTCCATGTTGGCTTTGTTCTTATGAATTCAATAGTTTTTTTCATCAAGCTATTAACATCTTGCCCTTTGCAGATGTATTCACTTCTTTTCATTTCATGCTTTCCACAGCCCCTTTATAGCTGCACAGTAGAATATTGCATGTGAATTATTAAAGGACTGTGGCCTTATGTGTCATCAATGCAAACACAGGTCTTAAAATATATATCTGTGTTTTCGTTGCACGTTCGTAAGTCAAGCAGGGACATCAGTAGCAGGCGGTTGTCCCTTTGTGTAAACAGCAAGTGCTGATGTAGTGGATTTCCCCTCTAAAGGGAAAAAGAAAATGAGGTTGGGGACCTGTCAGAGCGAGGGGGGGGGGGGTGTTAAGTCTAGGTTTACACCACATCCTAGCCACAAATCTGGGATCACCTTTCAGCAGTGTAAAATATCCTTAAAAAGGAGATCCAAATAAGAAGTTATAGGTTTAAATCAGTGAAGTTCCTGTAATTGTCTTTTATCGTGGTTGCAGAAACAAGGAATTAAATGGGATTGATTCTGGGTTATTGTGTGAGTGAGATACTTTTGCCTTGAGCACACATGTGCGCACACACAGCGGTGGTTTACTGTCACACCTTGGTGGTCACACACCCTCCGTGGTTACACTTGGGTGGGAAAGTGGGAAGCTCCACCTCCCCAGCACACTTGAAGTGCCTCATAAAGTCTTTGTTTTTGTCCTCGAGGGCCTCTGCGTCCTATTTTAGCCTACTAAACTATATGTTGGGCAGCTAAATATGTGTTCTGTTTTATATTTAACAAAAGAAAAGAATGCAAATGAAAAACCAGAACCACGTCATTGCAGTCTTTCAATGTTTCGGTGGGTGTTTTCGTCACCCCTTCGTCAAGCCATGTCTGTTGACGTCTTAAGGTGCTCTAAATGTGTTGTTTAACCAGTTGCTTTTACCACCTCAGGCAGAATGTGAGCCACTGTAATGTTTCAAGCACGTCCTGAAACCGTCTTAACATGAGGTTGTTCCTCTGTATATGTTCTTGTCATGTATCTACTTCAAACTGGCAGTAAACATTTCTTTCAGTTGAAACGCAATACTAGCAATACCTGAGAGGGATTAAACACTGTGTCTTTGTCCCAGGAGCACCTGAGGGACTAGGTTGACGAGGAAAGTAAACAAAAGGATATGATGGGGGGGGGGAAAGTGTTGGAAGGAGGGAGGGAAGAGTGGTTGCCATGCCGGCAAACGAGTGTATGGGAGGGGCAGAGATCAGTGATCGCAGAAAACTGAGAGAAACCGGGAGGCAGGGAAAAAGGAAGGGACGGGCTGACTCGTATTTCAGCACCGTGGCTCCTAGGGTTGGGCGTAAACCTAACCCTACAGTGACAACACGCACAGTCAACCCTCGTAGCCAGCCACACACTGACCAAGTGCAGGGAATCCTCACAGGCACATGCTTCTTATCAGCTGGTGTGTGAGTCACGCCGTGTGTGGACTTCCTTCCTTCCTTATCCTTGCGTTATCACTTGTGCTGATTCAGATCCAGACGGCTGTCAACACCTGGACTATTTTCAAAACACCAGCCATACTTTTTTCCACATAGAGCAGAAGGTAGATGAAGGAGAAGAAACAGTTGACAAGAAGTTGGATCCTTTTGGAAAACCCTGAGAGGCAGCGTCATCTCTGCACTTTGGCATATCCACCACTTGCTTACATTATAGAGGATCCATATTTGGAACTTGTGGCGGGAGGACTTCATGTGTGAGTGGTCATGTAACTTTATCACGCTGGGAATAGACCCAGGGCTGCCGACACCTCGTCACCTCTTGGTCTGGCATGGCACTGAGATGATACAAGTCAGCTGGTGTGTTTGCTAACAACTGGAGACACTCAAGGGCACTCATGGTTGTAAACAACAACTGCCCAATTTCTGTGAATATAAAGTCATTTGAAAATCTCTCTCCACCCTGTCATGCACCACCAAGGAATCACAGCCAACTGTGAGTGTGCACATACAAGTGTGTGTATCTGAGTGTGTGCCGCTGAGGGGCGGTGATTTTCCAGATTGCTGGATTGCCTAATTACCCCTTTTGGGTTTGGGAATCACGCCCAGAGTCTTTAAACACAAAGGAAGAAAAGAGAGGAAAACAGATGATTTAGGTCTGGCTTTCTGCTTGTGACACAGAGATTAATTGAAGGAGAAAGACGCTGGAAGTTAAGGCTGTCCGGAGTCATGATGTGGAACTGTGCGACCAAAGTGAAGAGAAACTGGGTTATAACTGAACCTGGAATTAATATTAAGCTTAACATGGAGTCTGAATAGTTTGAAGCATTTTTGCACATGTGCAGACCTGGATGCTGTGTTCAGAAATGTTTGGAATCTCTGGATCTGGACTTAGTGAATATCTACAAACCAAGCAAAGGATTATTTTTCCAGGTAAGACAAACATCGGGCCGTGTTAGATTTCCTGTCCCTGAAAGAGGATGAGAGGGGAAAGGAGGTCTTCGTCCTTTCGCAAGGAGAAACCGGCGGGCCTGTCCCGGGCTCTCAGCTGGCTGAGCGTGTCCACACTGTCCCGCCAGAGCAGACGCATCTTCCACAGCCAAAATAACCTCCACGCTGTCCACCACCGTCAACCGTACTCGCACTCGCACACTCGCCTTCATGCTGCAGTCAGAGACGAGGATGATGACGACGACGATGACAACTGGGTTTACCAGCCTCAACACAAAAGAGGTGAGACCAGGGATTGCAATGAAGAGATGACCCATGTCATTGTTTATTCGATTGGTTTGCCCAAACATTCTCCGGTCGTCAGAAAACTTTGCACCCTGGTTTGTTTCTTCCAGTTGATCCACAAACCACATGGTCCTTTTGGCTTGGCTGCATCACAACTTGTCACAATGCTCTGAGCTCATGTTGAATGGATTTCTGTTCTTTCTCTCAGCCCGGAAACCAGTGATTGACTTGTTTACATGCACAAGCAAGGAAAGAAGTGGTTCACTGTCTTTTTATGGCCCCTTGTTCTCCGACTCCCTGGCACTTCCTGGTTGCTGGAGGGGGGAATCGGGATTGTTAGGGGGTCAAGGGGCATTTTGTGTGCATGATAGGTAAACAAGGATGCGCTGGGCCGGAAGCAAGTGATGTCACAGGCTGGTGGCGATGTGAGCTGCTTTGTGCCAGGGAGAGAGGCATGCATAGCTCAGCATTCAGACCAAGCCATTATACTGGAGAGTAATCTGTTTTCTTCATTAATATTCCTGGTTTATATTTGGACGTCATCTTGACTGAGGTAGGACTGCCGTTTATACTTCTCTCAGTACCTCAGGGGTGTTGTGTTCCCTGGTTAGGCTCATATTTTATTGAATAGTTCATTAGTTGTTTGTGTATTTTGTCAGTGGTGTCCGTAGGGCTTTGTGGACAATGGTTGTAACTGTAGCTGAAATGGAAAAAGACACCGATGCCGCACTGTAGCCTCACAACTTTCTTCATTAACTCTGACCCATACTTGTCCTCAGCTCCAGTGTCACATCTCTTTCAGCTACACTCAAATCAGCAGAGACTGCAGGCGCTCCATCACAAATGTATTGAAATTACTCGGGGAGGTCTCGGCTTCCGAAAGCAAACTATTTTGATATTGAAGCTTGGACACCGTGTAGCAGAACAGCCCAATGCACAGTAGCTTTAGGTCATGGTACATAATGTGCTGAACTACATGTTTTCATGTCTCCATGGTCACACGCAGAGTTCCGATACTGTACCTCTTTGGGGCTGATCTCATTTTAGCATCATGAAACTGCTATTTACTTCTTATAGTTAGTTATTTACCTAGTTCTCAAATACTAGCTTCTTCAATATGAGTTGCTCTTTCCTGGAACAGGAATGTGGAGATTGTTGCTGTTGTCGTCGTTTATTTCCTGTCTTAAACCTTCTTGGTCACTCTGTCACCTCTGAGCCCGCCCCGTCCTAAAACAGCTCGGGTCACACATGGCTGGGATGCTTTGAAGTCCTCACATTTTTCATGTCAAAGAGGGAAAGCTGACACCCTTAAAAACTGATAGTTTGCATGTTATCTACTTTCAATTGGTCTAGATTTGTTTTAATTAAACATTCTCTTTATCTCAAAGCAACATATGGGTTTAGATATTTTGAATATGCTTATAAATATCAGAACAATTATGAAGATTCAGCAATACAACCAATTGCTCAGGCACATATACAAATATATGGCTTTTAAAATAAACACAAATGTATGAATTACATTATCAACATTACTTATTAGTCATGCATCATGTACTATACTCCCAGTTATACCTCTGTTTAATTTATTATCTTCCTTATTTTAAAATGCCTTCATGTAGTACATCTTTATTTCCTTCTTTGGTGATCACTTTTAATTTAAAAGTCTGATAAGTGTGACTTTCTTTATTGATTTTCTTGTAGATAAAATTAGGAAGCAGATTTAAAGTGGTACATTTCAATCACGGTAATTGATGATTTACTTGTTATATCTTAGAATAAAGGAAGGGGAGTGTCTATTGATTTTGTTGTAGCAGCTAACAGCATGACTTGTAGAAGAAGAGACGAGTGGATTTGTTTTTCAGAGACTGATGTTCTCCTACTGTGATTTCTTTCCCGCTCACACACCCTATCTTTTTTTATTTTTTTATTTCTGTCTCTCTGTCTTACACACAGTATATGTCTTTATGTAGCTAATTATAGCCTAGAGACAGTGTCAGAGACAGGTCAATACAAAACCATTCCATCCATAGCTCACACACAAGCATACACACACATACTGTATGCATGCACAGTCCACACCACACAAGAGGAAACATCTAATAAGAATACCTCTCTAGTCGGAACCTGAAGTATTTATAACATCTGGATCTGGCTTCCACACGCCTGCCAGGACCCATTACAAGACACATGGGCAGCCGCGCACCATGCCTGTGTTTTTAAATATAGCCCTAAATTGAGTGCCTGTGGCTTCAAACCCTGCAATTCTGACGCAGCCGCCAGCTTGACTGGTTGGGTGTTTGCCTCGGTAGCCAAGGAAACGGGTGTGCGAGTGAGTGTTTCCTGCTGTGGTTCAGTTTGACTTTGCTATTGGGACAACGCTGAACCAATCATGTGTAAGAGGGCCGTCTGGCACACAAGCTGCTATTGGCTGACCTGTTGACATCCTGATTTGAGGTGGATGAAAAAATAGTGAGGCGTGACTCGGATTGCAAAAAAATAAATAAACAAAAATGAAAATATTTTGTAGTATAATCCATATTAAAGATAATAATGAAATACTTGCACAGCATTGAAACTGCAACCTTGGACTTCCACTGTCAGCTTAAAGGTACAAAGAAAAGGCAAATACTTAGCACTTATTACAATACTTTACTACGGAAGAGGATTAGGGCCACATAAAAAACATGTTTGTTCTGAGAAAAAAGTCAGAATTCTGACTTTAATCTCAGAATTATGACTTTTTTTTACAATTTCTTTTTTTCAAATCCTCCCAAAAATAATAATGTGGCCCTAATCCTCTTCCGTGCTTTACCATTATATAGCTTATATTCAATATGTATGGAAACATTGTTACAAATGTGTTTTCTGGTGGCCAGCAGAGGAAATGTCCTGATCATAAAGCCAGTAGGTGGCAACAATTAAATAAAGAGGACAAAAAGTGATTTTATTACCACACATTTTTCTCTGCCTTTTCCACTACCAACTTCCACTGTCTCTTCTCCTGTCTCTCTCTTTCCTCACATACAGTATCCACAGACACCTCATGACCTGATCAATCTCCTCAATCAAACCCATTGATCTCCCCTATGTGGCCCTATGTCTGAATCAATCAGCGTGCAGGCATGATGGCTGTTCAGAGAGGCCAAGTCAAGAAATAGACCGGACAGTGGGGTCCCGCCAGGCTGCTGCTGAGGCCCCTTGCTCTTTCTGAGTCTGAATCCTTGTCTGGCAGCTGGGCATCTGAGCTCTACATGATTACTTTACTGCTTCTTACAGTGTATGTTGTTTATGTGCTCTGTACAGAAAGTCACCATATGAAACGAACTCGATGACTCTCATTCTAATTCATTCATCCATCGTTGGCAAGTAGAAGTGCTCCGTGTTAACATGTGCAAGTACAGAGATTGGAGGATTTAGGAGATTTTTGTCTGATGTATTTTTATATATCTACAGTTCCAATATGTGGTTTACATTTCTTACTTTGATTTGATCATTGAGGGCAACAACATATTAACCTAAATATTTAACACACCTTGGCACACCAGTGTCGTGGCAGCTAGAATCAGAATTGGGTCTCACTGTTTATGTATTAAGGCTGTATGAAAAGGTTATTTTAGGACACATTAGTCTGTGTGAGATGCATATTGAAATTTGATAGGATTTTTTTTCATGCGCGCACATATACACACACAAACACCATACACACACACCAATATTGCAATAGACTCATCATGATTATGTAGTCCATGTGTAAATCCAGATTAGCAGATGATAATTCGCTGTAGGGGGAGATGGGATGTATAAACCAGCAAGGCCTCATTAAGAGACAGACATGGACATCTGATGATGTGGCCCGCAGCCCAGGGTGTACACACACTTATGCTGTTCACACAAACATATATGTTAACACTCATCATACATTTATACAAAACTTGAAGGATAGCCATGAAAATAGTAAACATTTCTAATCAGCTTTTTCTCTCTGTTTTTCTCCTATGTGCTGACATTGATGTGGTGATTTTCAGGTAAGTCACATATTTTTCTTACAGACCCACATAACCTCTCTTTATGTCTCTACTAGATGATCCCAGATCAGACTTACTGTATACTGAAAACCCCTACAAAGCCTGCCACACATCACAGCTTGTATTTAAACGCATTTCTGACTCATCACCCACCTTTTCTGTATCATATGCATCCTATTAGCTTTGTGTTATGGGATCTAATCCCTGAATGCCCTAATGATGAGTAGGAGAGTTAGAGGAACAACAAGTGATTATGTTTGTGAACATGATGTCAGTTTGAAGGGGGATAGAGATTAGGGTTTACGTTGATAGGATGCACTGATGTTGTCCCAACCCAATCCTGAGGTAAGAGATTATATTCACACATATATAGGATCTGTGGGGATGTCATGGGAAACGTTTTCGACCAATTTTATTACAACGCCAATCATGTTTTTTCTCTGAGTTTCCTTTATTCATTATTGATAAACCTGTTTTATCTGAGTGCCCTGTTTGCCTCATATTTCCAATTTGAAGATCCTTCCTATCGCGTGACTAACTGTTCGTGCTACCAAAGTGCCATGTTTGCTACAACTAGCTTAGTCCTTATCTGCATGTGTTATTTTATTTTATCTTGCACTGACTCAAAGCTCACAACATGTCGTGTTTGTGCTGCTCAGATACGATAGAAGATGTGTAGAACTCTGAGTTACTGACTGATATTTGGGATAAGATACTGTAATGAAACGGGGCCATTCACGCGATCCAGCCCTTATGACAGTGTTTTACCTGTAGCTAAAGACTGTATTTTGAAGAATGACAATAGTGGTCAGTATGAGACTGCCATTTAACCAGAAGGCCTGTTGCCACCTAGTCTAGTGCTGCAATGTCCTTGAAGGCCTTTTGTATCCTTGTAAGTGTCTTTATCCAAATGTAACAACATTTAAAAGAAAAATGAGAGAGGGACTTAAAATATGACGTTTAAGTCACATGCTTGATGTTTGTCATACTGAATTTACACATTTGTTTCCATTGCACTTTGCCGCATTTCACTTTTCAAATCAGTAGCTGGCCCTCATAAGTAGATGTCGTTTTATAATTAAGTAAATATAATGCATTACGCTGCTGTCAACATGATTGGTTAAGAAAAGGGAAGAAATTCCACCTCCTTGGTTTTACCACTTCAGCTCAGTGAGAACAGTGATTAGGCCGACCTCAAGTGTTTCACAGTCAAGGATTTGTTGCAAAATGTTGTAAGTTAAAGCAATTTTAACGCATCCAATTAAGGTGTAGGTTTAATGAAGTCAGGTTTTATTGTCTGGTTAGGTGGGTCTATTCAGGGATTTGTGTGTGGTTTTTTTTCCGCTTAGTTTTTTGGCATCCGTATGTTATGCACTTTATGCTCTTGCCGAGGACATACATCAGTTTTACACAGATACGCTAAGAATGCCATGCTGAGAAGAAAAATACAACCGGTTTATAAAGTCAGGTTTTAAAGTAAAAAAACAAAAGTGAAGGAAATGGGCAAGAAAAGTAATAAAAACACTGGGAAAACCAAATACTTAGGCAACTGTACCACAAACATAAATACACACAAACACACACAAAAATGCCAATTAGCCCGTAATTGGTGACATCTGGTTCGAGGCAGACGTGTCATAACACGCAAGCCATACTGGGGTTGGGATTAAAATGGTTATAACACTCGCACATGCACACAAACACTTGGATCGTGCATCATATACAAATGTAACCTCTGTGCAGGGTTAACATGCATATACATACATCAGAAACAGGTTTATTGCCAGGTAGGTTCACACATACGAGGAATTTGACTTGAGGTCATGGTGCAGAAATACAATATTAAACAAGAAATCTAATATAAAACAAAAAATCTTTAAGGACACCGTAATAAAATATAGTTAAATAGCAATAAAATAAAGCAGTAACTTACATGCAAATAGAATGCTATGAATGAATTATAGGATATAAAATATGAAACAAGAAATATGTGCAGTAAGCAGTATAAACATTGTGTGCATTAATGTAATGCATATAGAGACTACGTTGTGGCTGAGGTAAGTGTCAGTGGGGGGGGCCGGGCCTTGTTTAAGAGGCCGGTAGCGGAGGGGAAGAAACTGTTCAGGTGGCGAGAGGTTTTGGTCCTGATGGAGCGCAGCCTCCTGCCAGAGGGGAGGGGGGTGAACAGTTNGTGGAAATGGCCATGACATGGGACCTTTAAGAGGCCGGTAGCGGAGGGGAAGAAACTGTTCAGGTGGCGAGAGGTTCTGGTCCCGATGGAGCGCCCCCACTGCAAGGGGGGAGGGGGGTGAACAGTTTGTGTCCAGGGTTGGAGGGGTTGGCCACTATCTTCCCTGCCCGCCTCAGGGTTCTGGAGGTGTTTCGGTGTCTGACCAACAGATCTGATAAAGAGACATAGCTCAAACTTTCTATTAAGCCTTGACTATCATATATGATAAGTACCTACATAAAGGATTATATTCCTGGTAATTATGACCCTTTAAGCCTTTACCATGCTTCCTGATGACATATAGTGTGTGGGGATTTACTGTTGCAGACAACGAATGAGGTAAAGGTTATATTGTTGTGAAGATGGTGGTACTAAACGATGTGGATGGAGTCATGACACCTACATGCTCTGAATGTGCCTTTTTGAAATGCGGTCATCTATAATACAGGATAAATATTGGTTTCAGAACAATGAGTTTTTAGGTCACCACAAATTGACACCAGGTGCTCTGGCAGGCCGAGTTTGGTTAGTGCGTAATAATCAGTGAATCAAAAATAAAACCAGCCCACTCATAATGAGCTAAACTGTTACCCAGCTCAGTTTATCGGTACTTTATAGCTTTTTAAATGGGGCTTAAGTGTTTTTTTTACCTTTTTAAGCTTCACAAACCCTTTAAGCAGTAACCAACTGTGTTTTTGCTGTGTAAGAGAAAAGCCATTACAGAGGCTCATTGGAAATCAATGGCGTTTTGTATTCAGTCCAGAGAATGCCAAACTTTACATCGACACATTTGTTCTATCCACACTGTGTTCGTCGGGTCACTTAACGGCAAAAAGTATTCGGACCTGATAGTGTTTCCAAAGACTTTCAATTAGTCAGTTTTTGTCTCCCAATCCCTTGAGTCGCTGCTGGTGATTCATGGCGACCGCACGCCGGGGGGTTTGGGGATGCACCGAGGTTGTAGCTGCTCCTGATAACAAACAGTTGAATTGTGGGGATTAAAGCGATTATCTCTGATCAGCGCACAATGGGTCGACCTCATGCCGGGGCCCCCTGCCTCTCTCTGAACTGCTGAGTGCACAGATTCTCTACAATCACAATCCTCGACAAGGCTTGTGCTCTGTGTGTTTGTGTATTTTAGTTTTATTGCCCACCTTAATAAGAGAATATGTATATTTGAATGACGTAATACATTTGTTCAGTTTTGTATCTGCATTATGGACACCGATCAGCTTAAACAGTTTTAGATTTAGGCTTCTGGCTCGATACCTCTTAACACTGATGGGGCGGAGAGATGATGTGGAGGGTGGAGGGGGTGGGGGGGTCAGTGTGGTACAGAGGCATTCACAGATGCAGGGAGAGAGAGAGGAGAAGCAGAGTGAGGGGGTCGTGAAGCAGTTTCCTGCGGTGTAGAAGTTGGCTAACTGCCACTAAGAGTGTGCGCATATATGTGTGTGTGAGGGGAGTGAGAGAGGGAGGGAGATGGCGAGAGAGGCACCGGGAGAGAGGAGTGTATGTGTCGGGATCCGTGCGTCCGTGTGTGAACGCTTTCCCCGAGCGGTGTAGAGGGGGAGAGGAACGGAGGGCGAGAAAGAAGGAAAGAAACTGGGATTTGCTTCTCATTTATAAATTGGACTTTAAGTGAAGAGCCATGTTCTGTATAAAAGGTAAGTGTGTGTGTGTGTGTGTGTGTGTTACATTAATGTGTTTGCATCACTTTCATGAGTTCGTGGGACTTTTCCTGCAGACTTTCTGAGACAAAGAAAAGTTGAACTCCATCCCTCTCCTCTGTGTGGAAAAGTAATTTCTGTCACAGCGGCTTCCTCCTACACAATATCCTTCCTCATGTGTTTTTCTTTAGTGAACGAAGCCCTCCTTCTTTCTCTCTTTAATCATCTTTTCCTTTGTTCTTTTTTCCCCCTTAAATTCGTTGAGGTCCGCTGACTTTAATCCACCTCTTCTTTATTTCTCTGTCTATTTAGTTTTTGATCTTCTTCCTAGTTGCTCTCTCATTCTTGACATCAAAAGAGCTTCCAATATTGAACCTTCTATGGTCAATTTGCCTCGTGAGCTTTGCTTTATTTTGGACAGTAATTTAGCGGAGACGAGTAACATGTGAGTGTTTGTGTGTCTGAGAGTGTGTTGTCCACAGTAACAGCTGGCGAAGCAGCAGTTGTTGGGCTGCTGTCCTGCAGAGTGTGGCCATGTGTTGGCTATTTCTTGACAATGTGAAAGAGTGATAAGGGGGGCATTTTTTCCTCTTTTACTGGCAACCTCATTTTGCATTTTTGTATCTTCTCCCACACTGATTCATTGCTTGGCTATATAACTGTATACTCAATCTATGACTGCATGACTCTGGTATGACCCCAGATCTTCCATCTTTGTTTTATACTTGAAACTAGGAAGTTGTCTAGAATATGATATGATGCTGTTGTCCTAAAGGAAAACAGTATATCTGGAGTTGGCTTCCATTGCTTGTCTTGAGAAATGCATGTTGATGCAATAACAACATGGTGGCATCTTTATGTGTTCAAAATCTCTGTTCAAAATCACTCTTGGGATTTTGAATATCATTACATGTGAAGAAGATGCACAAAAGTTTCCGGAAAAAAGTAAAAATGAAAAGACAACAATGTTTATTATTCTTGAAAGTCAACAATTAATATGTTGACAAGCGGTTATTCTACGTGTGTACTTAGTTGTTGTTTTCAACTGTTTTTGTAATCTTTTCATAATGTAATTTTGCCTTATTTTCCAACATGTTGTCGAAAAAGCGCTCAGCATGTGTTGTCTTGTTCAAATCCAATTCTTCAAATTCAGAAAACAACATAGGATTTGGAAAACATGTGTAGTTTATAAGTTGAGAATTGTGTTAGAACTCCAGGCTTGCAGATGTCGTCAAATGAAGACCAGCATGGTGCTCAGCTGTGTCTAAGTCCAAACTGCTTTTGTTGTATCCCAGAAATGAGGAGATCATCCCTCTTGTGAAACCACAGTATTTTCTTTTTCTGTAGCCTGAATATGTATTTCCTCCAAAAATGAGCTAATATAAAGTGAACACTGCAACTCTTTGTGGCAATATCTCAGTTCATCAGCTGTACTCAATCATTTATGTTGTCAGTAACACCGTTTCCACACTATGTCAAACTGGGAATATGGAGAGAAACAGATGTGTGGTTTTGGTTGGAGGGAAAAGTATTTTAACATTTTACAACTAGATGTATTGGTTTAAATTCATGTAGTTGAAGTTGTGTGTTTTTATTCTGACCTACCAACCTAAGGTAGCAGGAAGGTATTTTCCCTCACACAGTTTCGCATTGCCCTGCAGAAATACTACTATGTAAAAAGTGTATCGTCTTTCTCAAATCAGGCTAGACATTTCTTCTATTAGCCGCACTTCCAGTTTGGGTTTCCAGCTGCAGAAGATATGAAAAAATGACCCAGATATGTGCGATAATCCGACCTGTAGATTACTCTACGTCGGTTGGCAGTTACAGAATGTCTGCTTATGTTATGATTTAAACAAGTCCCCTCAGTGTGGGTTGCCAACTCTGCAGCAGATGTGACACATTTTCAGTTTGTATTCCTCCACATCCAGCTGCGGCCAGAGTGGATTCTCATCTGTTTTGACCACCACACACTCCCCCCCCCTCTTCCGCAGTAAAGCCTTGCATTTTAGAGTAAGCCCTTTTGCTTGCTGGCCAGACCACTTGGTGTGGCTTTTGGTATGTTGCATAAGTCATTAATGCTCTCCAGCTCCACTCCAGTAGAATATTGTAGCCCAGAAATGAGACATTAGCTGGGACTGAGCAGGGATTAGTTGGAGTAATTTTGGAAAACCTTGTTCTCACTCAAACTGGAGGTTTCCTGCAGTGTGACAGATATAGAAATCCAACATTTCTGTGCATGTCAGTGAGTGTAAGCCCTGTAGAGCAAACATATTGCAGAGCATTCATCCCACCTCACCGTTGAGAGGTCAGTCAAGGCCAGCTCGGGCCTTGTCCAATCTGGAAGAACATGTCTTTGACTGAGGGAAACTCGTGTTTCCTGGTTTGCAGTTCAATTGGATATGTGAGCTTTAGGGTGGCTTCAGATGTTTTGGTTGCGGACAGCAGTTGAGGGGGAAGTGCAGATGTTGCGATCCAGCCATACACAGATGTTTAGTTGATGAAGTGTGCAATTGGACAGTGGCCTGAACCATCATGCAGCTGGAAGACGTTTGCTGTAATTAAGACATAATACAAAGTATTCTAAGCTCTTAACATTTGTAAGTAACTAACGTTAGAAATAACTGAAGACAGAGAGCACACTCACTACACAGCAGCCCGCAGTTTTATAAAATAATTAACGGGTAATTAATGATGTAATCTCCTGCTAGAGATGTATGTAATTTGAAGTGGTAAAGTAACGGTCAACTCAGCTGAAAATGAGAAGCTGTTACCTGAATGTCCACAACACAGGAACCCTTGTTCCAGCCGTGTGTGTGTGTGTGTGTGTGTGTGTGTGTGTGTGTGTGTGTGTGTGTGTGTGTGTGTGTGTGTGTGTGTGTGTGTGTGTGTGTGTGTGTGTGTGTTTAAAATATGTCCATTTTACAGGACCTATATTTGGTCTGAGATTGAAAGAGATACTGATTTGTATAGTGATGTTTGCATATGCGACCTGCACAAGTGTGTGAATTGAATTCCAGGAATGTGTGTGTGTGTCTGTGTACCTTCCTCACACTCATGGGAAGGCAGCAGGAGCTCGGTGTGGTTTCTCTCCAGGGCTGCCGTGCTACATTCGGCCCACAGGGCAGTGACCCACATAGCTATATGTGTAAACCTATATTTAACCTCAACTCCTTCTTGGCATTTCACTTAGGATTCTCACTACCTATAAAGCACATACACATCGGATTAGACCGGACTTTTCATAGTGTAGCAAGTTAATGACAGAAATTGCTAAGTGGTTAACATACAAAAAGGCTTTTATCTTATATTTTCATGGAGTTTAGAGTTAATTCCAATAGTTTTATATTGGCATGTGTGCTACCACATACTTGTTGGGTTTGATAATTCTTAAAAGTATATTGGGCATACCTAAAGTCTATATTTATGGCTTCAAGTATAACAAAAGCCATTGCATTATTTTGCAACATTTCAAGGCAATAACATTTCATCATGTTTAATGTATTTGCAAAAAGCTCAATTACAGGTGCTTCAGATTTTTTGGAATATGCACAACTGAAAAAGCAGATGACAGATATTTTTCTAGCAACCCAATTAAAGTTACTTTAGTCCCCCAATAACCAATGCACCTGTGCTGTGTGTCTGGAGAGACTCTAACCCCTCGACCCAAGGCTGACCCACTACCTGCCCTCTGGCCTTGTGGGTAGTGGTGTTGATGGATGTTCTCACACTCAATGTGTCAGGCTGCTTATCTCCAGTGGAGGGGAAGAGTCGGAGCAGGGAGGACAGGAGAGAGGTGTGAAATGAATGAAGACCGCAAAATAAGTGTTTCAAGTGTGTTTAAATTGAAAGATGGAACATTTATACGAAACCAAAGTCAAGCCCAGCTGTATGTTACTTTCTGAACAATTTTGACCTGCATCCATCATATTTACCACTGAAAGTACTTGGATTTTAGGAATATGGACTGTGGAATTTAGTTTGTCAGTTTAAAGAAATGTTTGGCTAATTAATTAAGTTGTGGATTTGCTTATCAGTAGATATTCAGCCTTATATATATCCAACTATCCTGTTATCTTTAAGTTATTGTTCTTGGATTAATTAGCTAATTAGATTTAGTGCTAGCAGAAGTTCTTGAACCTCATGTTAAAGTATGACAAACTTTAAACTATTTTCTGAAACCTCCACAATAATTACAGTACAGTTCATTTTTGCATGAGTAAATATATTCACACTTTGTAAATGACATGGCACTTTAAGGGGAAACTCAGAACAACTTGTGGACCCCTGTTAAGAAGTCGAGCTCTTCCAAAAGAAGAAGAGATGTCTGTTCTTGACAGGTAAACAATAGATGGTGACGTTCCAGCCAGTGGACCTTTTGTCCTCTGAAATGTGTTTACAAAACAATGGCTTTTTGAGACAGTAAAGAAGTTCTGAAAGATGTTAGAGCCAGTAAGGGGGACTTTCTGTATTTCTATACTGAGACAAGAGGAGTTTCTTTGGATGCGAGTGTTGAACTGGGATGTTTCCAGGGACAATGCTGGAAAAGTTTTGTTTTGGGTAAAGTTTGAAAAGACAATGGCCGACCCCCTGTGGAGGAGTGAATGACTTCCCCAGACAGAGGACTAACTCAGCGTGCAGGTGCTCTTCTCACTCCATTCAGACCTATGCGTATCCATGGTAACCATTGTCCTTTCACTAAAGCCTTCCGCTTCACACACACACACGCACACACACACAAGTATTCACAAGCACATAGGATAATTTATATTTCTTTTCTACTTTTGTAATTGCCATATCTATGGATTTAACTTGAACTGGATGTTAAACACTGTTTTTTTATTTTTATTATTTTGACACACACACACACACACACACACACACACACACACACACACACACACACACACACACACACACACACACACACACACACACACACACATTTCAACAGTACAAACATGTGTTTTTGTGTCACTGTAGAAACACCCCCTGCT